CTTTGTGCAATCCTGCAACTTTACACTTCTCCAGCTCGTTTTAAAAAAAATTCTTCTGAATTTATTACATGTGTAAACAAAACAGATCTACAGACAAAACACAGCAGCCAGTGCAACAGTAGGTTACATCACATAACCTCAAAAACTAAATGATAAAAGTTACAACTGATAACAGAACGATCCATTTGGATCCAGTGACAGGTGAGACAGCTGTGCAGTGTGCTGTAAGTAACTGGCGCCATATTAAAATCAGGCTGGATTGGGACAGGATGTGCTATTTGGCAAATATTTGTTGTGTCAATATATCTGTCTTTAATAATGTAAAAAAAAAAAAAAAAAAAAAGTTTCTGTGTGTGTGTGTGTGTGTGTGTGGGGGGGGGGGGTGAATGCTGCTGTTTCAGGTGGAATTGCACCTCTGGGATAAATAAAACCACAGCAGCGATGCTTTAAGGTCGCTGCATAACTCCAAATGGATCTCTGAACAGATATTTTGATTGAAACTGCAGTATTGAGGTCGAAATACAAACCACAGCGATCAGAATCAGTCAGTGCGATGATATTCTGCTCACACTCAGTAGAGAATAAGAGCTGTGGATGGCCAACTGCAGTAGCTGGAGGCTGTGCAGCTGTGAATGTGTCAAACATTTTCAAGCTCTTCAATGCATTTTGTAAACATGTTCGTTCTGCGATACATCTGCAGACGGAAGCAGATTGATGAGATGATTAAAGGGGTCAACAGAAATTTGAGATAAAACAAATTAGAGATAAGGAGTGAGCGAGCTGTAACCATACTGAGGGAGAGCTGCAGACACAGATACAGTTTGCTCTCCTCATTTGATGCTCCATTTAGCATAAACACAAAATAAACCCATCCCCAGTGCCGAGCTGCTTACAGACACACAGTCGTTATGTTGTCACGTAAGAACAGGGAAAAAAGCTAGCAAGCTTAAAATAGACAATGTGCTTTGCCTCTGACTGTTTTTTCCCTCAGCAGCTGTGATATGATTTGTAATACGCGAGGGCACAACAGTGACTGAAATCCCTACAATAGTACACAGCACATGACATTTCTTCCAAAACTTGAGAAATGCATAATGCTTCTGGAATGTGAGAAGCTCTGCTCACATTAGCAAAATACACACCGGCACTGAAGATTATTTCAAGTAATTTAGATAAAAACTATTCTATGGAGGCCATTGGAAGATAACCCCAAGAGATCAAATATTGCAACAGCTGACACAACACAGTGTCATTTTCAATTAGTGCTAGGGAGGCACCGAAAACAACCGAATATAATGAAAGAAATTTCCCATACAGAACAAGTACATTCACATGTTTTCCATTTATCTTGCCTTTTTTTTTACCGTTGCATAAATGAAATAGTCAGAATGAGCTTTTTCCTCAGTGTTTCCCACAGGACGTGGAGAGACTATGGTGGGGGGGGTCCGGGGCCCGAGAGGTTCTGGTAAAGTAAATTACGTGAGTCTGTTTACTTTTAATGGACACATATGTTTTATACTTTCTGTGAATATAACCCAATTAATCTTATTTCCATCCTGTACAGACGCCTTATTTTGAAAACCGGACGTCGTCACATGTGTTTCCTCCTCGCACTAAATCCATCCAGTCCGACCCGGTTTGATAAATAATGTTGTACGTGGTTCTCGTACGGCGTAACATGAAGACTTCACAGCCTCTCTTCAGGTAGGACTCTCATACTGCAACACTGAACTTCTCCAACCTGCAGTTCCCTTTCCCCACAAGCCGGGTTGTAACACCTGCAACGTGTGCACTCCAAATGTAGGCGTGGCTAGCTTAATGTCACTCACAGACGAGTGACAGCGGTTCTTTTCCAAGAAGTCAGCCACAGATGGAGCGGATGTGCTGGGAGACAAGTCAGCAGAACAGCGTCTGCAAACGGCTCGGACACTTTAAAAAGCTTCCGCACTGCCGACATGGCAACGTAATTGTTCGACCGAAAGTGCTTTTTTTGTAATTTTCGACCGATTAATTTCGATGCCTGAACATTCGGTACATCCCTAATTTGTGAAAGCTGACATTTTGAGAGGGAATGAACATTACTAACAAACAAAATGATCTCAAAAGCAAAACCTACAATACAAGATTGTCCAGTTTGATCTAAAGAAATTAGAATTTGTTTTTCCACACTTTTTAAAGTTACGCTACCCCAGTTATGGTGCGGGATAAAGCGTGGCAAGTAAGCTAACAGCAGCTTCACAAAGTTGTAAATTATATAGTGTTTCATCACATACTTGACTGTAATTAACCTCTGCTAAGTCATTAGACTCACAACAGCCAAGCAGTATTGCTCCTCCTCTGCTGCATGTATTATTTTACCAGGCAGTTTTAATAAGAGGATATATTTCCTGAATGAGAGGTCAATCCCATTCCCTCTTTCAAACTGGCTGACAGTGGAGAGCCAGACAATCTGATTTAACTGTGACCGGAAGTCTCGTCCCGTTCCTCACAAAAGAACAGAAGGCAAAGTCCAGTCTGACTGCAGTGTGACACAAAGTACTCACGAGGGCAACAACGGACAACAGACAGTCAAAGGCTCAAGGCCAGGATGTTATCTTCCCCCCGTCTACGTCATTGAGTGCTAATACTAGAAGATGTGTGGCCGCTACAACGGTCCCTACTATATACGTTAGACTAATCAGATGTAACCATACATTTAAAGTCCTCACGAGCTTTACTAAAATTTACAAGCTTCTCTGAAGTAAAAAGACTGTATAGCGCGTATAGCCTCTTCAGATTCGGGTGGGGATGGTAAACAACTTTTACTGATCCCGATCCTGTTCTGCATCATGCACCGGGATAGTTATTGGCTCATGCTATGGACAGCTCCTGGTGCTGAAATGAAGTCTAATAAACTACACAAGCGAATTAACGGAAGCAAAATAAGACCGTGTTATTTTATGAAAAATACCGAATTCAAACACAAATCCAATTCATCAGTAATGTTGAACCAAAACAGATTTCCTGCACACAAATGAAGATATTACTTTCTAACAGACGCAGCAGTCTGGCATTGGCAAATACTGGCAGGATAAACACAGCTTTCTCCTTTAAAACTCCTGTTCTGAGTATCCACCATTCTACTGCACAGTTCTTGAGAATGATGAGATGATGTCTTTTATTTGGTGTAACAGTGTTGGCTCTGACTGTAGCTTCATAGCTTCATGAGAGAAAAACTTAACCAGCACAAACACACTGTGTGGGTAAAAGTACTGGGACACCTAAATATTCTAAATCCATATGCATAAATACGGTGTTGGTCACCCCTTTGCAGCTATTACAGGTTACACTCTTCCGGGAAGGCTTTGTCTGTGGGAATGTTTGCCCGTTCATCCAGTAATAAAGATTTGTGAGGTCAGACACTGATGATCAGAAAGTTCCTATCTTAAGTCTTAAGTTAAGATAGGATTTTTCTCAATTTGGTATTATAGAAGCAAATCCTAACTAACTTCAGGAATCCTATCTTATCTTACTTCATCTCATCTTATTAGGTTATGAAATCCTAAATACTCAATCCAATATCGGTTATCAACTTTTATGCCTGTTACCTAGCAACTGATGCCACTTTTCTCATCTCGCCGAGCTAAACGGCTTTTAATCGCTGTTTTTTGGTCATTTTTTAAATGAAACATGCACTGAAAATGGAGCAGAAACATCAACTATCACTGGACTTCAAGTCAGATGACTTAGAGGTGTTGGTGACCTTGAGAACGCCAAATTCACGTAACGCTTATTTTGGGAGATTAAAGAGAGAGAGTAGGCTAAAATAGCGGACACAGTCACCGCCGCATAGGCTATCTGGCAGCCAGCGGAGCGCTGATGCTGTCAAAAAGAAAATAAGTCCATTCACAGTGATACGAAGAGAAAGGCAACTATTGTGTCCAAAGAGCAGAGGAAACCGGCGGTGGCTCCTCCTGCGCTGCCTCACTGACCCCGGCAGAAACCAGTCTTCTCGGGAAAGTTAATAATGAAGGTTAAAAATTTTTTTTTAAATAAATAAAGGCTGCGGGCTAACGTCATCATGTTTTCATTTAGGTAGCTGGTTTATGTAGTCAGTTGGTCATGTTAAGGTAGTACGTGCAGACCAGGAATGAGAAGCCTCAAGAGTCACTCTGGACACTATTCATCCATGACAATGTCTACAGTTTGCAGACTTTTTTTCCCATCCACAAGTCACCGTCCCAATCAGAAGTGGCAGGAGTCAGCTGTTGCTTTAATTGCATGCAAACTGGTGATTTCACAGTAAAGGGCTGCCAAAACTGTTTCAATCATAGGAGCGGTCTTGTTCAAATCCACTGGAGTATTATCACAATCTTGTTATCAGGTTTGATGTAGATCTCCTGAACCTTGCACATACAGCACACACGTTGCTTTGATTCAAACCCAGTTCCAAGTGAAGACACCTCCGACATGTACATAATAATGGTAATATTAATTGAATCCTGCGTCCTTTGCAGTCTGCTCATTGCACTATTGTCTAAATCTGTCTCTACTGTTTTTGTTTGTGTGTATATGTGTTCTCTATACTGTAGCCTGTGTCTGATTTTATTATTGTATAAGTAAGCACGTCGTGAGCAATGGGCAATCACGAGTCAAATTCCAAGTATGTGTACACATACTTGGCGATAAAAGCGGATTCTGATTCTGAAATATTTGTAGAAGAAGGAACGTGCCAAGGTAGGTACTGCTCCTGTCCATTTTATGTTACAGCTGACAGCATTGTCCAGAAAGACATTGATTCAACTTCAGAATAAGCTGCACTGCAAACACTGCAAGGAACCAGAAGTGCAACAACAGTAAGCCAACATGTTTCACCAGTGTTAATAAGCACAAGCCTTTTTGCTGGAGTAAATAAAATCTTCATCATTTGCCTGACCATGCTCATTGCTGGACCAGGTTCTGCAACCTAACTGCATATGCAGGCACCACGAAAATAGATTTGGAAATGAAGCAGCTCTTACCTCGATGAGGAAGTCCCCCGTCCTGAGCCCCGCCTGCCATGCCACTCCTCCCTCATCCACAGACTCCAGGTACTGCAGAGCGGGGAAGGCAGGTGTGGGAGTAAACTCCTCAATGGGCGTATCGGCTGCACAGCAAGAAAGGACAGAGGTGGAAAGGATTATAGAGAAAGCAAAATACAAGACACACTAATGCACACAAAACATGAGATATTGTCAGAGGAGAATGAAACAATGACATGACAGTTCAGACCTTATCAAGCCCAGGTGTAATTAATAAGATTACTTAGGGCTGCATTCCATTTACACCTAAATGCAGCTAATGTTATTAGTAACAGCTGCTTTTCCAACTATAAAAAGTCAAAATGTCTGCTGTGAAAAAGGCCTACTGATATCAGAGTGTCAATTAACAAGACTCATTGCTCGGGTGTGTTTACTTTGGCTTAGGTAAACAAGCATGTTCCTTCAAACAACAAAAGAAATATTATGTCCAGTAAGGGACTGTTGTCTCACACACCATTAAAGAGTCATTTGTGTTTTGGTAACGAAACTAAAACTATACACTTTTTAGAGATCTCACTTTGGGGCAACGCGTTCATCTACAAAACTCCTTTTCTTTGCAGCCAAACTTCCCAAATTCATCTGTTTGATGCTGTCTCAACACGAAGCGGGCTAAATAAAATTCAGTCTAAAATGATGATTTCTCTGATCAAAGACAAAGCATTTCAATGCTAACTGTCCACCTAAAGTATCACAGCTCAACAGCCAGCTCTGCTGTTTACAAAGATCAGATGACAGGTGATATGCACATGCACCAAAACTCAATTTTATTAGTGATCTTTATAACGTTGTAGTTGAATTTAAATTCTTAAGTTTTTACAGTTTACCATCGCGCCTGTACTGTACAATCGCTCCATTCTCCCCACACATGGTTCCAGCCCACCCCCCCATCCCCCCATCCCCCCCTGCTTGCTTTCGGGGAGGTTAAAAAAATATTGCGGCTGGGAGAAACCAGTGGTGACAAGTGACACTTCCTATAACTCATCCTCCTACTGGAAGACAGTCCGCGAGCACGTAAGAGGGTTACGTGAGGGTATTTACACGGTTGTGATGACGATGTTTCTTTAGGTGTCTGCCTGTGCCGATGACAGAGATGTAGCCGGAGAAGGAGAAGGGGACAGAGATATGGACGGAGAGCAAAAAAACGGCAGAAATGCAGAGAGCAAAAGAGGATGTAAGCTTATGTGACAGCTCGAGCATGAGTGCGCGTTTGCGTGCTCGTGTGTGTGTTCACCCCCCGTGCAGGATAAGCTCGGCTGGGTCAGTTCCCCGGGGTGATAGCAGAGTGTGTCAGAATGACGAGAACATTCCTCTTGTTTTTCAAGCCAAATCCTCTTTCCTCTCCCTCCATGTCAGTCCCTCTCTCTCTCTCCATATGTGTCTTCAAAATTGGAAACATACTAAATTTACCTCCCGACAGTAACCATGGCGTAGACCAATTGAACGCCACCGCACAGTTGTGGAATGCAACGTGGATTATGACATGGTGAGAATCGTCATAGAAACCGATGCAGCAGCTCAAACTGGCTATTTTTAGAGCCAATCTCACGGCCTGGTAAAAAATCAAACCTGGATAGGCCACTCATATCACAACAACTCTGGATGTGGTGGGAGGTAAATGATGGTGGGCGCTACGCAACAAATATAAAGTAAAAGCGAGGGGAAAAAGGGATTTCTTCATGCCTTTCCTTGATTAAGCAGTGAAGTCACATTACAGATGTTGATTACAGCCCAGAGAGGAGGGTAAACCCTTTTACAAACATCATAATAAAAATGTGGGCAAGTTTGGGTGAGTTTACTGTCAATTGCATCCCTGACAACACCACCCTCACAATGTATCTGACACTCCTGCTGTGTGTGCGCATTATGTGCAAGTGGCTTCAGTGGCGGTCACAATAAAGTTTCTAATGTATTTTTAATAGCAGAACTTATCTGCATGTTGCATGTGCGTGATTTTGGGAGGGGGTCTACAGGACCACTCCGTGCATTCTCTCACATACAAGCCCCTAAGACTGATCCAAGATGAGCCAAACTGCACAAACCCCAGATGAAATTGCACAATAGTAGGCTACATTTTGAAAAACAAAATCTTGGTGGTGTAAGTGCAGTTTTAGGAGAATGGCAGAAAGAGAGTAATAGTACACTAGAAGAACAAAAAGTCAGTAAATGTTCCTACCTTTGGCCCCTCGCAGGACGAAGCCAAACCCCTCATTCTCCTTTTTCTGGAGCACCACCGTCTTCTCGTCCACCACGCAGTCACTGTGGAGGAGATGCCGAGCAGAGCGCCCGTTAGCACAGCCCATCATCCGCAGCATGGCCACGGACGCCCTGCCCGAGTGGAGGTTCATGCTGCTGGAGGAGAGCTAGTCCGGCCAGGGCAGGGCAGGGCAACCCCGTCCCCACCCCACCACCGCCTCCTCCTCCTCCTCCTCCTCCTCCTCTCGCCGGACTCTCTCTCTATCAGACGGTATGACAGCGGCCCCGGCAGCCCGGCGACAGCATCTCCAGAAAAGAGTCGACCCCCCCCAAAAAAACAAAAAACACAAGAGAGACGACGACGAAAGAGACGCGCCCCCCTGCCCTGCCCTCCCCTCCCCTCCCAGCTACCGCCTTGCCGCCGCCGCCGCAGCGGCAGCCTGTCGGCCGCCTCTCCTGTGCGGAGACGCGGAGGTGGCCGCGCCGTTACCCCCGCCTCTGCCGCTGCTGCTGCGGAGGCTCCGGCCGGCGGTGTGGGAGTGCTGCGCCGTCGAGGAGAGGCGACATCTGGCTGGTGGTGATAGCTGCTAATGGCTCATGATGAGGCGGGGAGGAAGGCTGAAGCTCGCCGGGCTTGGGGGTGGAGGGAGAGAGAGCGAGCGAGCGAGAGGAGGGAGCAGCAAAGTCTCGGTGTGGATGGATGTCTAGGTGTGCGGTGCTCTGCATTGTGCAATCACAACTACAGAAATGACTGGCTGGTAGGGAGGGTGTGTTTGTGCGTGTGTGTCTGTGTGTGAGATGGCAGAGTGGGTGTGTGACCAGCAGTGGAACAGAAGCTGCTGATGGCGGGAGGTCTGCCTTAATTACTAACTGATCAGTTAATTGATGGATTGATAATCCCACTGATGTTTGTGGGATGCGCCTGTCATCTGCCAGATCGATTCACTTGCATTTCTGTTGTTCTTTTAATGATGCAGGCTAGGGGTGTGTTACAATATTTGGCCAGGGGAAAGGCTAAAATAGAAGGTAAAAGAAACTTCAATTATCGCACATATTGAAGACAACACTGTCAACAGGAAGAACCTATTACTGTAACTTTCTAATCTGGCTAAATAAAACTAGGCTAACTAGAGGTAGATTGCCTTTGCGTGACCTGGGGCAAACATTATAATAATCAAATGACCAAAAACCAGCTGACTCGCAAGGAATAAGTGTGGGTACCACAAATTCAACAAGAACAACATGAACAGAAATATCTAGAGACAGCCAACAACTTAGATTTATTTAATGCTGGTAGGTTGATACTCTGCTGAAGTCCTCCACATTTCTGTCCTAAAAACAAAAGTGACATCTCTGCAGTCAGCCTGCAACTGCAGCTAAAAATGCATATTTTACAAAATGCATGACATTATGTCTCCCACACAGTGGCAGCAGCTCCGGTTGCAGTTTCTGACCTACACTGTTGTCGATGCAGTCGTGCATATAAGGAATCCAAAATGAGAGGCACTTCTTGAAGCTGTCTAATCTGACATCTTCCTCTTAGCTCAGAATGTGTTAACCTGGACCAGTTTTTTCCCCACTGGTCTTCATTTTCTGGAATATGCATAAAATGGTATGATCCATCTCTCATTTCCTGCAGTAACCACGGCCGGGCCTGGTGCGGCGAGACTGATCAGCGTCATCTAGGTTGTGAAGCAGAGCTGAGCGGGGAACCAGCTGGTTTAAGGTGCAACTTAAAGGCCAAGTTTGCTCCTCCAGCCTGAGGTGTTTGCTGTAAGGCTGCATCATTCAGCTTATATTAAGTGCAAGGATTACACTGAATAGACACGTGGGATGAGAGAGAGAGGAGAGAATAAAGAAGGAGAGAGAGGTGCGACTGCCATCCTAGCAACAGTTCCCTTAGCAACACAATCTGTCTAGAGAGGAAGAAGGCCTGCACTGCTGACACACTGAAGGTTATCTCCCAGCATTCCCTCACACACACACACACACTCGCACACACCCTCTGGCCCATATGGGGCAGCCACTGGTAATCACCCAAATCTGACATAGTGGCAGTTTCAATAGGTCAGCGCACTGCAGCGTGCAAAAGAGGGTCTGACAGTTTATCAAAGGTGTAATCTTGTTCAACAAGTGATTTGGGGGGGGGGGGGGGGGGGGGGGGCTGCTTTATCAAAATAAAGTGGAGCATGCAGGATGTGGGACATGCTGTTCGACAGGCTGTATGGGATGAAGTGCAAGCTTACCCCAGGGAGCTGCCTCAATCTGGGCTCCGCCGTGGGAGGCTGTGTATTTATAGTCTGGAGGAGAGGTTCTGTATGCAAAGCAATGGCCGTTTGTTTGTCAGACATTCATCTCCTGCTGTCCACGCAAAACTTTTTATTGGAGTTTGGAGGTCTGGCTCAGGGGCGGTTAGACAGTCATGGAGCTCTTACATTGACTGATGGCCGGTGGAGAATGTAATGCACAGTAAACGATCAGTCATTGCGCACAAGGGCTTCTAACTTCTCAATGGCGTGCTCTGGATGCGGCAGAGTACTCTCAGTCACCAGCTCATTCCTCCACATGCATTCAGGCCATGTGACTCCACAACGACTCCTCAGGCACCAGCATCATCAGCATTTTATCTTAAGACAGCAGAGAGCTGATGCGTGAAGTACAAAAATCCACATCTGGCTTTCCTCCCTTTCCATTTCACCCCACTGCAGCCTCAGTCAGCAAAGAGGGATTGTCTGTTCACAAGTCAGATTTGAAGAGTAATGGAAAAAAAGAGCGCTCCTGCAGACTATCTCAAGCTTTTAGTCTTACAGCGTCATCCGGACATGAAGCGTTGAAGAGTCAGCAACAAACACGTGGTAACAATTGTATTAACAAGAAAACTGTCTTGTTCTAATGAGCTCCTTTTCCCTTTTAGAGATATTTTCATGCGTTTGCCTCCAAACATCTTGGAATGGAAATGAGCTCTCTCTAGATCCACAGCTACATCAAATCAAATAAAAGACATGTTAACAGACATTAAACTGTATTTTAAGAATAATAAGTTATATTGTGGGGGTGCAGGTTTGCTTTGCGCTGCCACACTGTCGTCAGGACACCTTGAGGTGCAGCACAGTAGGTTTGCTGGTTCTCAGTTCAGTTTTAATTTACTTGAGCACACAATGAACCATCAGTAAGACACTATGTCCTGCCATAGCCATACTCTCCATCATAATGTTCATAAGCATTACTCTATATACATTTTTTTGGCTATTCAATAATCAAGGTAATTTTCCCATCAATACACACTGATCCCCACTCCCTACACTGCATGTTTTAAAATATACTGGCTAAATCAAGGCTATATATTTATATATATATAGCCTTTACGAGCAATTATTCTTTTGGTAAAGCATAATAGTTAGCATATGTGTGTTTATCCTGTTTATCTATGACATCAGTGTGCACAGGTGTGACCACCACAACCCGAGCCATAACTTAACAGTACATTGCTCACGTTTGACGTCATGTCCTGATGGCAGGAAGCTTGACAATTAAACATTCTGCAATGAGAAATGCTTTCTTTTTTTACTCTGCGAGACTGTAAAACACGAGAAGAGTGCAAGCTGTTTTGGCCAGTTAGCAGGCAGTATTAATTCAAACTGAAGCAAATCTGTTCCCTCAAACAGACGTAAGGCGTATGGCTGAAGTTTCCCCACCCTAGGTTTGGTTTGATTACACTTCATGTCTGATCATCTTTACTTCTAGTAGACACCTGCCAGACAGTAGCTCCCATTCAGAGGCCATGTCCTAATTCCAGTGTGTTTAAATTACACTACTTTTGAGCAAACAATAAATGAATTATTTAATGACTCCCCAAAATGTTCCCCGCATTATGGAGAAGGCTCAATATTTCTCAAATATGCTCTCTACCGTTTCGTTAATAGACAGCTGTAATGTGAAATACACAATCAAATCAGCCTTTCTCAAAGTACGCCACTGGTCATGGTCCAGCTCTTTTCCTGTCACTTTTTCCATGTTTCTCCTTCTGTGATTGTGTGTGTGGTTCTGTCTGGGCGTGGCGTTCCCTCCTGCTCCGCAGCATCCTGCACACCTGTGATTCATCCCACTAATCAAGACTCTGCAGTCAACCCTGGCGTTTCACTCCAGTCCTCGCCAGATCACTCAGTTTGCTGGTGTGGTAATTACTGTCCCTGCGATGGACTGGCGACCTGTCCAGGGCGTACTCCCCCTTTCACCCGATGTCAGCTGGGATTGGCTCCGGCCCCCCGCGACCCTGTACGCAGGATAAGCGGTTGACGATGGATGGATGGTAATTACTGTACAGCGTAGCTCTCCAACTTGTCATTCTTCTTTGTGTTTTTGGACCTCTGACTCTGACACTACCTGCGCTCAGGTTCACTCCAGCGCCGTTACCTGCCTCACTCTCCCCCTAAGCTCACGAGCCTTGTCGCGCTGCCCGCCTTGCCGTCCGTGCATTCGTTCAACTCTGCTTTTACAATAAACTGTGGTTACCTACTAACTAACGATCTCTCGAGTTTCGTATTTTGGTCCAGCTTTTCTTGTGAACATAACAGGTCACTGCGCTTCATTAACCAAAAGCTGAGTGACTCATTTTTCATATACTGTATGTGAACCGTGGTCACTTGGCCTGTGGGAGGATTACATTTCAGATATATACTATAAATACTATATATTAATTCTTCTACCCGTCTATTGGGACTCTAAACAATATCTTGTTTTTGTCTCTCTTGCGACATTTAACAGCACCCCTCCATCAATTAAATAACAATCTTTAAAGAGCAGAGGAAGGACTTAACGTGAGTCCCTTGGAAATGTCAGCTTTCCAAAAAAATGTACAGCAATATTTTAATATCTGATATGTGTGCATATATACAGTACATTTAATACGGAACACACAATTGAAATCGTCTTGGCTCACTCTATATGCAGGTTCAAGTTTCATTTCCAGTTGAGATTTCCCCTGGATCTTTGAAATCACATGGGTCTTGCCACAATTCACATTCGGCCAACCAACCAGCCTTCGTCCCTGCGCTGGGTGAGAGATGGTGGAGATGGTTCACCTTGACCCATATTTGACACTACCAGCATGTTCAGAGTCCTGCCAGAGGAAATCCAGCAGAGTAATGACGGGAAATGCCACACCGTCCTTCTCAACGCAAACATTTCCAGGTTTTATATTATAATGTATGGGCCTGAAATTTTGTCTGGCAGTGTAGTGCACTGCACGCTCCATTTCTTCCATTAGTTGATGAAAAAGGACAGACGCGGACTTAAAATGTAATTGACAAATACATGAAACAGCTCCTCAGACGACAAAAAGGTTCATTTCCAGATGCAAGAGGTGCTATTTACGCTTCAACCAACCACACTCCGTTGAGAAAACTTTTCCTCGCAGAGCAACGTAAAATACACTTCATTCAAACTGCACGGAAACAAAATACTACTCACCAAAACTGTCTTTGTTAGTCTTTCCACTGTTCCAACAATCACCTGTCTGGGTTGGTTGAAATAAACTCTCAGCCAGCAGCCGTGAAAAAGGGTGCAACACAGCATACTCCACTACAAGTACAACACGACAACATCATGGAAAGGATCCCTATAGAGACAGACCTTTTTGTTATGTCGTACTGATAAATAGCTGCGAGTGACACTATCAGCGTAACACACCTGAATCTCTGAACAATCTGTAGGCAGGGGAGTTGCACTGTGGGTAATGTAGGAGGAGCCAGGCTTTGACAAGAAATAAAAAAGACAACATCTCTGGTTCCATGGCATTGATTTCAATACTTTTTGAAAAACTTTCCGCCGTGAGTCTGACACTGACACAGTGTAAGTCAGTGGAGTACTCTTTCTAAAGTTCCCCCTTCTCACATGAGACCATTTCCTGCTTTTCTCTGTTTTATTTAATAGTAAACTCAATCTCTTTGAGCTGTTGGTCGAAGTTAATTTTTTCAGCATTTTCTTAATTTGGAGACCAAATTAAATGATCATCCAACAAAAAGGATTGATCAATATTGATGAAGAAATATTACTTACAGCCCTAATATCATCATTATCAATTCTAAATTTGTAGATATAATGAGAATTGACTGCTCAGTACTCAGACTACTCATCTCTATTTAATGCAATTTTTAGCTTCATTTTCCCTCTGCAGCTCCATCAGACAGGCTGAGGAAGGCCATAAATTCAGCCTAGGCATTCACTGTTTCCATGTATGGGTCAAAACCACTGCACATGTCCTGCAATGCAAACCGCTGCGTGCCTGACGATATTGGACAAATGACCTTTCTGTGATCTAACACAAACCAGAGCTCATTCATACTCATGTCTGCCAAAAATATTCAGTCACTGATTCTTCAGAATAGTTATTGTTCACAATGGAGAATATACTTCAAGTGCAATGTGTCTCAGCCATCTCTCTTTCTCTCTCTCACACACACCCAAACAGAGGAGTACACATTATCTTCATCTCTAATGAAGCTTGTATTGAAGTGGATGTGACAGAAGAGAAAAGTGGAGCAGAATAACATTAAACCAGAAGACGGTGGAAACCTCGGGACTCGACGTCAAGTGCCATTAGACAGGACGTTTCACTTGGCTGAAAGGACAGATTTGCATCTTAAAATCCCTGTTTTTTCCTGTTATAGCTTTTCCCTTTCTGTCCTCAAGAACAGAAGAAAATGTTCAAATGCTGATGAAGATTATAAATGAAACAGCTCCATATAAAGACAAAGAGTTGATTAGTATGTAGATTTTACATTTGTGTTTAGGTTTCATTGCATCCAAGATATTGTAAATATTAAGACAACAAAAAGCCTCCTGAAACTAAAAGAAAAACCTTTTTAAAAGCTTTAAAGACTGTCTTTAGTTTGTGAGGTGTGGAAAAAAACTGCTGTACAGTAAGAATGCTTTAAAAAAAAAAAAGACTTTGATCAATTAACAACATGCAAAGTGAATGAACAGAACAATCTTTATCAATGTGGTTAGACAACATTTGTGCACAGTAGTGCATGTGCATATATGTATATAAACAAGCGTTTGTGTGAGGTCTTACCTGGAGGCATCAAAGCTGTCGTAGGAGCCCACAGTGTAGTGTCTGAAGAGCTTCCGTCTGTCAGCGCGGTCCGCTCGGGAATCTGCCAAAACACACAGCAGAATGAGATCAATATTCACATCCCATTTGTAACCAATAACAGCAGTTTTCAAATCAATCACTGCTGTTAGGAGGATAGCAGTTTGGTGGACAGTAAATCTGTTACCCCTTGACAAATAGCTGTTTCTGCACATGTGACACTTCTGTCTGAGCTCTTTATCAGGATCCAATTCGGCATGACACAGAGAAGTTACACCTGTTGTCACTCTGTGCAATTCAATATATACATGCAAATACAAAAAGTATCTGTTCAGCGCTGTAGGAACATCACGCTACTTTAGTCTTTGCTCCTAACAGGAAAGAATCAGAATTCTCATAGCCACAAGAGGTCCTTGTGTCTTTTTCTGATGCTGTCCATAAGTGTCCAGCCATACAGCAAAATCAAATCCGTCCCTTGGACGCACAGTTGAAGCCTTCATGGTTTAGGATTGCACTTTAATAATAAGGATTTAAGACTTTATTATCATACAGTATATCCTGATTATTGGCAAATTTTACATTTAATCACATTAAAAGTCCCTGTTACAATGTCCAGCAGACACTAAGCAACATTAGCATTCATTTGTCGTTTATCTGACCACCTGACAAGTGTAAGTTCATTATTCACTCTCCTTTTATCACTATTTTTGTCTCTGACAACTCTTCAATTGCAGAAAACTGTCCAAACTGCTTGTCCTGTCTTAACTTAAGTTTCAAACATAGGAAAAATCTCATCTTCCTATTACAGGAGCAATTCCTAAACTCATGACTGTGTCCTATCCTATTTCAGATATTGTATTTTGTATCTTGATCTTGTATTTTATGAATTTAGGACAACATTCATGTTTCAGTTAGGACAATTCTGTAATAGCTAAATTCCTATCCTAAGATAATACGGTATGCAGTTAGGAAGCATGTTTCTGTAATACCAAAAATCCAATATTTCATCCTAACCTGAGAAGAAAGCAGCCACCTGCTGCTGGTTGATGAGAGCAGAGTTGTTATAAAAACCACAAGCAACAAGCTGAAAGATGCTAAAACAGCTGCAGAGCCAGGTGATCATTCTCTATGGATTTGTCCCTATGAGCTTTCCCATTACACATATGCTTAATATTATGAATGATAATTGATTCTTTAGTGCAACTATTTCAAATCTAAAGCCAATAACATATATTTACATATAATTTCAGACAATCAGTGATTAACATCTACAGGACACGTGCAATGGCTATCACTGCATCAAACAGAAGCCTCTATTTAACATTAATCAATATAAATCGTAAAGAATGTGGAAACAAAGATCCAGAGGGTGGCAATATTGGGTAATAAATGGATAAATGAGAGACTTGGCCATCGACAGCGTATGTGTTGAGGTTGACAACAGAAGAACACTTTGAATACCGGGATAATCATTACTGTGAATGAGATCCTCAAGACACTCGCAGCATTTTCTCAGTCCTCTTTCGGGCTCCGTCCTCCTTTATCTACAAAGTTCATGTATGAGTACGTACAGAAACATTAAACTTAACACTTTCATAGACTATAGAAAGTACATGACCTCCAGAGTGAAGATTCCTCCCGTCTTTGTCCGTCTCATCTATGTGTCCTATTCAGCAGCAGCTCCTCCCCCCTTTCATTCCTTCACATACTCTCTCACACCAGCTGTCACACTTTCACAGAAACTCCATCTCCTCTGATCCGGCTTAGATCTTGTCATCTTTGCAGGAACATTTTTTTTCTCCCCCTGATTCTCCATCGACAGTGTCAGATTGGAGGAGGAAGGATGGGGCTGGAAGTGGATGATGTTTTTATTTATTTTTACAGAAAAGATGAACAGAGGGAGAAATAAAACAGTAATATGTGTAAGAAGACATTCTTCTGAGAGGAGAGAGGGAATAGCATATCCACCACATAGTCACACTCCATAGCAACGGCTGTCTGACTGCGGCCAGCTGGTTTCTATGGTCACAGATCAATAGCGACAGTGTATGCATGGTGTGTGTATGTGTGTGTGTGCGCGCACATATGCATAACTGAATGTGATTCATGTTGGCGTGTTGTGTGAAAACATGCACGTTACACTGCATCTGTATTTGTGTCTTTGTTCTGTCAGCTGTTTATACTGCAAGTGTGTGTATAATGTGTGTGTGTGTGTGTGTGTGTGTGTGTAGCAGCAGCGGATACTGTCGGGCATCTGCGCCTCCCTGGGTTCCTTCCAGGTTTTTATTTTCCCTCCTCGCTTCCTTCACTTGTAGCTCACCTGACGACGCGAGGGAGAGAAATGCGAGAATGAGATGGAAATTGACGCGAGACATGTTTGCCAAATGGGACATTGCTCGGCCCTGCCTCGCTCTGAAACAACATCATTACCAACAGTGTGACACGTTTCACAGCTGTATCACCTGTCGCTGTCGAGTTTTCTTTTCTCAGATTATGTGAATTGCTGTTGAATTGGAAGCTATCCTATCTGTGCTTTATTTACTTTTATTTATTTATTTTTAGACACAAAAGTGGCCGTTACATTTGGTTCACAGGACGAATAGCACTAACTTGCTTATGGAGTTTGTAAGTGTAGTCGTGAAAAGCGTATAGTGCCATGTTTCCCAAACTTAGGGTTGGGACCCAAACTGGGTCACAGGAATAAAATTGACAACAATGATACAATATGTAAATATGTGAATGAGCGTTCTTTGTTCAGCTGTGAGGTTTTCTCTCTCTCTTTTCCCAAACCTGATCTTCTGTCCACATTTATACAGAATATTTATGTCTACAGTCTGTGATCTGTCATTGTCGATCCTTTGATGTCTTAACTAAAGTACAAGGACCAGTTCAAATTCAAATCAGCTTTATTGGCATGAATGTATAACAACAATATTGCCAAAGCTAGCCAGATACTTCACTGTGTATTTTTTGGGGAATTGCTCAGTAATGGGGTTTTAAAATGAATAAATTGCACAGGTATCTCCAAACGAAACATTCGCTGTATTTGAGAAAGTCCAAACATTTTTTTTTTCTATGCAAAGAAGAGTCCTTCAAGATGTGTTCATTCAATATGGCGCAACGTACTTGTATGAATCCGGCTTTCCAACTCTGGCATCCTGGAGAAAACATTTCAGAAACAGACTAAATGCTCAGCATGACCTCAGAATGGCACGTTAAAAAACTGAGCCCAAAGTAAAGATCATTGGTCAGATTGGTGATGATGGGAGGGGATAAGAAAACGAGAGGAGAGAAGGGGTGAGGCACAGAAAGGGGGACAGACCGTTGTTGTTTTTGTTAAGAAGAAAATGAATACGTCTGTTTTGCCCTTTATCAGCACTTTGTAAACGTATGCCAGGGAAACACCAGATTTCTCTTTCAGGGCTTGAGCTGAAAAAGTTTGGGAACCAGTGATCTAGTGTATTTAAGGAAGTCGTTCATCAACAGACTTTTTAAATAGTTGTGTTATTTAAGAGCGTTAAAAATGTCACTATTAGACCTATCATCTTTTACAGTTTCATCAAATGAGCTGCAGTATCCAATTACCAACATAATTACGAGCCCTGAGGCCACCTGATGCCTGAGTAAATGCTGCACGTATAGTGTGATGGAACAAAATTATCTTCAAACACACGTTGTGCATCCCCTAGAACATTTATGAGCTGCTGCTCCTGCTTTTGTGCTCTTGGTGCCAGATATGATGGTGTGAAGGTCACATGTTTTGGGAATATTTATTACAGATAGTAAGAATACAGTCATCCTCTCTGTAATACTGGACATAAATGTAATTTCATAAAAGCTCCTTTCTGAAACAAGACAGTCAAATATGAAACCACCTCTTTCCTTTGCTTATTCTACTGCGTAACTAATAGAGAGAGGCTTCAGGGCCATGAGATAAACAACACTAATTAAGGAACAGATACATTCATTTGTTACTGCGAATTTATTTTAATTCTGTCTTAACATGTAAACACTGTGTCACCTGCTCTGCTGTGGTGCTTCTCCCCAACAAAAACTGTTTACGTGATCTAATAGAAACACAATGTGTTGCATGCAGCTACCACAATGAGACATGCTGTGTTTCCAGTGTCTTTGAAACAAAGCTGGTACAGCATCACCTGAACCTATTTTAACAGGCACCGCAGTGATGTGAAATGGCTGTGTGATCTCGAAAATGAAAAGAACTGCTGTGCACAGATAATGTGCAGTACATGCATTTGTGAACACAGCATCCCTTGGGGACACCGAGGTCATGTTGCCTCCATCTTTTTGTGTGTATGAATTTGTTGGCTTTAGAAACCTGGGGGAAGTTTACACTCTGTAACATAAAACTCACGCTTGGTGGTTATTTTGTGCGTTTTTAGTCTCAGCATGTTACAATTTGACTGCTTTCAGGCCAGCAGAATAATAAATAAAATGAAAGGCTTCAGCATTTCTGCCCCCATGATTTTATTCCTGGTAGTGTGGAGAAGTCATTGCAACAACATTTACACCTTGATGCTGAGAAATACATTTCCAGAAGGTATAACTAAGCAGTTAACTGAAAAAACATGAGAAGTCCAAATGGCTAAAAAAACTCACGTGGTCAGACTTCTCTGAGAGTGGAAGGGTGTGTTGCGGGGGCTACTGAAAGCATTTGTTATGGCCCTGTGTGCAAAAGAAGATCTCTAAACAACCAGGATTTACTTACAGTTGCTAGCTGCCTTTAAAACTCACTAGAAATGCATTACATGTCGTGCCCTGCCACTGTGGTGTGGCATGAAGAACTGTCAGTTGAGAATTTGGTTTTCTGAAAATAACATCAGATGCTGACAAAGACTCAGGAAACAGTTTCTGAGTGCAGATGTTTACAGAAAATGTGCCTTTAGTTGATGACATTCATGTTTTTCATAGTACGCCGCTCATGACTCTTTTAAAGGGGAACTCCGCAGATTCCAGTCTGATAAATGTCCTCAAGGGATGTCCCTTGAGTCACCGTCGGTTGGGGCCGAAGAAAAGTTTGAACACAATAATGAGCATCCGTTAGTCAGTCATTTTCAGGCAGCCTTAATCTTACATTGATCAGAATTTGTGAGTAGGGGCTGACAAATATTTTGTTCTTACAGTAATACGTTTGAGCCATGCTGAGGAGATTTGATTGATCTTTATTATAACATAAAGTGCATAAAAATCCTCAGATGGAAACCTACTGCTGCAGTCAGGCTTCAGTGAGGTTGAGACTTCACTCTCAGCTCAGTTACACACTGAGAAGTATTCACCTAAATCTTGCTTTCTGGTCTGGGAGGCTGGTGTACCATACTTGCTTATCCACGAGCTTTGTGTGTGTGTGTGTGTGTGTGTGTGTGTGTGTAGGCCATGACTTTCCTCGTGTGTTTCCCCTACATAGCTCCTCAAGCGCTCTCGAGGGTCCAAACCTGAACCCTAACAAAGCATGTCTAAGCAGGGCTTAATCCTACTGCATCACATCTATTGAATTAAAGGGATTAGAAGCTAAAGGTGTTTAAGTTAAATCAGCATGTGTGTGTGTCTGTGTGGGTGTTGATGGGATAAAACGGTAAAATACAAAACCCTAAAAGGTTGCACTTTTCACATATAAGAGAGGAAGAAGATAACTAATGTTACAATCATTCTAACCTTGCATGTAAATTTTGAATATTTTAGACTGTGGAAGATCATCCAGTTCTGATCAGATACCAACTAACCCAAACAAAGTCTATCAGATGAGACACTCATTACACACCATAATTACACATCCAGGTCCATTCAGACAAACTACGGTTTCCTTCTCAGATTTGCATGAAGGATTTAAGAGGACTTACTGTATATATAGAGTTACTGACTGATAGATGTACCCATCTGTTATTTGATCAGGAGTGGGAATATTGCTTTTTGGATTAAAATATTTATCTCCATACTACACTACTCTGGCTGAAAGATTCATTCAGAGGAATGCATGAACTAAAAAGTGATCAAATTTAAACTGGCAATGCATATTTTCTATGGTTTCACATTTCTTGTGAAAGGTGGAAATGACTTCTAAATTGTCTAAAAAATGATACAAGGTTTTTTGAAAGTGGTGTTTTATATGTTTGGTGACTGAGCTAGACACATAACTATACTATAACCCAGAACTACAACTCCCATCCCTTATGTCTGTGATCTTTCAAAAGTTTGCACAAAATACACAGAGAAGCAGAGAGATGGCAAAGCAACAGGTCTGTAAGATGTCTGAAAAAACGAGTAAATAATGGACAGATTGAAAGATGATTGTCTTATCAGTGGTTATCCGGCAATACCCCACTTAACATCTATGCCTTGAGTGTGCAGTTGGAGCAGGGAGACGATTAGCTTAGCTTAGCACAAAGACTGGAGACACGTCCTCTGTGTAGCCTCTCTATTGGTTGCCTGGTAACCTCATGATGTTCATCACAAAGAAATGGTTATAAAAAAATAAAAGGAATAATTATAATGAAATAATTGAATAATTAAAAATGGAATAATTTAATGAGTAATTAAATAAATACAGGCTTTTAATTGACCTTAGAGGTGCAGTCGTACATTCTTTTAAACTTCAGCCAGAGTCAGGCTAGCTGTTTCCCCTTCCTTCCAGTCTGTATGCTAAGCTAACTGCCTCCTGACATCTTCTTTTCTAACTCTAGGTAAAAAAAGCAAATGGGTATATTTCCCAAAATGTCAAACTATTCTTTTAAAAGAAGAATTATCTGATGTATGGATAGCTGGATAACACATGTATGGTGGATGGATTGTTAAACCATAGAAAAATGCTGTACTTCAAACTACCTCTCCTACAACTACCTGTCAAATGGTAATCATTTCAGCAAAAAATGTATTTCTCAGTTGCCTGTTATTTCCCCAATCAGCCACAACTGTTAGGCTTCATGCAGGACATTCACTGCTTTTGCAGCACACACACACACACACGCGTAGCCTGCGGCCTTGGCCAAGGCTGTCTTTGAATGGGTCTTTGCAAGCCACCATACTGTGCTCCCGTTTTCTGACAGACTTTCTTTGCAGGCAGACCTGGGGGCAATTTTGATGTGGCACAGTGTGAGAGAGCTCCCAGTGCCAATGGCCTTGGGTTTGGCTTTAAAATAAGCCACCCAGAAGAAGGCAAACAGCGAGAGGGAGAAGAACTAGTTGCTCCCCATCTGCCTCCGTCTATGCTGACATACTCCTAAAAGCAGGAAGGACTAAGAGAGCGGGTGGGTGTGGGGAGTTGACTCCAGTAACACTGTTCTTTGTGATAATGTCAATAATTAAACACTGTCAGAGAACATAATACCAGACAATGAAAAAGATTGTGGAACACCAAAGAGTAGGACAGAGAGAAGGATTGCCAGGCCTTCTTTAAAATCTGCTCCCTTTCAAAAACACACTGACAGCACTCACTACAAGCACAGCACAAAGACGTTGGCAACAACAAGAGAGATTGCAAGGACAAGGAAAAATGGGATGTTTATGGGGGACAGAGCATGGCGTGATATGTTCATTAGCGTGCACCCAGAGGACATCAGAGCACAGCTGAGTTAGCAGAGCAACGTAGCGCTTAGCTTTGTGCACTACCGCCTGGGGAGACAGAAAGAGACTGGGAGACAAGCCGGTAGAGGAGGAGAGACACATGCAGAGCACGCACTGGAGAAAAAGGAGCCACGTGCCATCACGCTGCCTCGGGAACCTACAGCATTTAGCCTTAGCGTCTGTTCTTTGTGTCCCCTCTCTCTCTCTCCACAAAACTGGGTGATGGCAAACAGCGCGTGTCCTACATAAGTCAATGTCCCACCTCCAACCGCCACACAACCCCAAGTGATTAGACTTACAGCTCCTCTCATCGGTGGCCTTGGCCGGGATCTCCTCCACACAGTCGGCTGGAAACCAGCCCACCTGGCCGTGGGCGCTGCCCTCCCAGAAACCTCCCTCTCCGATGCTTAGAACTGGACCGGGGGGGCGGAGAGTGCCGGAAAAGATAGTGACAAATGGCATCGGTTTCAGAGCACACAAGTGAAGCAACAGAACAGAGCGTCCCCAGAGATAATTTAAAGCACTGAATGCCATATTTGAATAGAAAGTGTCACAACATTAAGGCAACGGTTTCTACTTATACAAAGTGTCCAACAACTGTATTAGGTGTTTAAAACAATGTGACAATATTCATCATTGAGCTGATAAATGGATGCATTTTAAACTAAATCTGACTCTTCCATTTGTTAGAGGTTACAATTAAATGTCATCCATTAACAGTGTGAACTGCAGGGGGTCTGGACTGATGCCTGAAAATGTTGACAAGCTCACAGTAGTGAGAAATGTTCTTAAGAAATCCAAAATCAGTTTGTGTGAAGATGTTTATGGTGTATGGAAACCTAAGATGTTTGGTCTTTATTTGGTTCCCTTCAGTTCTGTTTTATGTAGATAAAGATCTGCCTTAAAAGCTGCTTTATTTTAACAGAGATTCTATATGTGTTTTTCACTAAAACCCTAGAAAAACGTAAGAATGACCTGAAAACAGAGTTTTTGCAGATTTCATGCCTCTGAAGGGATAGTGACGGGATTTTGAATTGTCCCAATTTGTTTCACACCAATTGATTAACTTCCTAAGATCCAGTTTTTCCCCCTACATGTTTACACTGGTTGAAATATTTATTTTACGGCTTCACCATCCCATCAAATGGAAACATTCTAGATGTCTTATGGATCAATTGAAACACATCTCCCCAAATTTCAGCATATTTGGTGTCTTTCGTTCTGTGGGTTTGAATACAGTTGGCTGCACATGCTGAGTTTGTAGTGACCGACCCACCGGTGGATCAGGACGTTTAGGTTAACAATGTGTGTGTGTGTTTCGAATCACAAAGCCTGTCTCGTATATCATATCGAGCCAGGAGCTCACTATATGTTACATTAGAACTAGCTGAAAAATAATTAAACTCTCTAAAAATAAATTTGGCTCAGTAATTATCTTAGAAAAAAATCCTTCCTGTTGAGCAGTACAAACAACGTATAGACGCAGGTCATAATATTCTGTTTATACAAGAGTGGCTTAACATAGATGTTTCTTGGGCGAAGCACATCCTCCTTGCTTTCTCAGTAAATAATGCATTTTTTTTGCATTTTCATCAAAGCCAGAGAAACCGTACACCCTTAATGTCTGCAGATGAGGAGGATGTTATTCCGCCTCTAGAGCCTAGGTAGTCAGTTTCATCACATATGGTAATTTGCTGCTTGATTTCCAGTTGTCTCATTTTCAGAAACAATTATGAACTGACGACAGGAAAGAATCAGTGCCTTTTATTTCCTTTTTTGATGTTAGTATTCATCATACATCCTCCAAGGAGGAGGAATTTTACTTTTCTCTCTCTTTAGTTTACAGTCAACAATGGAATGTAACCAGGTACATTTACTCAAATACTTTTCTTAAGTACAGTTTTGAGGTACTTTACTTTAGTAACTTTTACTTGTGTCACATGTGTTGCTGACCTGCTGAGTTAAACAACACTGGCTATACTGGAGTATTAGCTTCTTGACATACTGGAGTATAGCCAGCCACTGGACTCTAGGGTTATTCCAAGTGTCACCTTTGACCCTGTCGCTTTTGTAGAGGTTGATCTCTCCCTCGGCCTGGGCGGTGTAAGGACGAACCACCACAAAATGTCGCCCAGGAACCGCGCTGTACAGCTTCCTTCTGGTGCCTACTGCCTCACCATGACTGCTGGGACTGTAAGAGAGGAAAAAACAGCAGGATAAAGCACAACTAGAAAATCTAATTTACACTCCAACAACAGAATCACCAAATTCAATAGCCCTGCAGGAAATGGTAACCTGTTTTCCTGTCACACCTGCTGCATTAGTTGAAAAAGCAACAAATATTATTTCCACAAAGAAAATGCGGATGTGACTTTATCATGCAGCGTGGGAAAAGTTGTCCACATCTTTAAAGTTACTTAAAGAAAACTGAGAGATCATTGCAGGTTGAAAGAATCTGCTACTACCTGCTCAAAAAAAAACCTTCTGAGCTTCCCCAACTGGCAGTAACAATAATTTGTCATCCACACACACACAAAAACCAATTATGCAGAGGAGATATTCAGAGGCCAGCGGGCACGTGTCTTGCAGTAGTAAGTGGAGCAGAATATGGGCAGGCTCTGACCCACAGAGCTGCAGTGGCTTCTGGGTAGGAGGCAAGACACTCTAAAGACCACACAGAGAGCTAGGCAGGATTTAGGATCAAGAGAAGGAAAATATCAAAATGCCAAATTATGACAAAAAGGACATTTTTAAAATATGATGGAGGCAGCATTTATATGTTTCTATGTTAAATTTGGTTCTAAAAAGCTGCAACTTTGCATCAAAAGTGATCTCCAGCACTCCTTCATTCATACATGGAGGCGAGACGTGACCAGTGGTGCTGGTCGGTGTCCGTGACATGATAATGTAGCGCCACTTAGTGGTAAACTTTCATAACAACACTTACCACAACAGATGGAACGTTAGATTGGGAAAACAAACGCCATCAAGGACCAGAATTGTGAAGTTTTTATTATGACCAAAATTTCTGTGCGATTAAAACCTGCAAACTGTTGAAATTTTTACTCTAAACATAAATGTGTGACTGAATTGTTAAATGATAGAAAATAGAAATGACTTTTTCTATGAAGCGTAGGCACAAGGACAACATTCCAGATCAAGGTCTGGAAACAAAGTGTGAAAAGATTTTAATAGAAGTTTAATTAATAGATAAACGTTGTTCTTTAGGCATCTTGCACATGCACACAATTTGAGTAATTCAGAGAGACAGAAAGAGTCCAGAAGAGTCAGAGATTAAACTACAGCAGGAGGAAATTAAAGAGAACGAAGGAAATGGAGTGCAGGAGTGAGGGATTGAGAGAGAGGAAGGAAATGTTTTTTTCAAGTAAGTGGGTCACCTTGTCCTGTAGACTGCGCTCCTCCTCAAACCTTCACGGGCCTTTGGAGAGCTAACCCCATTCAATACCTGGTGAGGCTGCTTGCACATTTTCCAAGGGAAAGCCATGGACAAAACTGCAACTGTGCACTCTGAGCAGCTACAATACTATAGCAAATTAAAAAGCTCTGGTGACTGATTTGCATGATGGCTGAAAGCATCTCAACTGATGCTGCTCAACCTTTTTACTTTGTGAATGCATCATCGTCAGGGTTGGCCTCATTAAAACAGAAATTATTGCAAGTTAAGTGTATTTTTTGACACCACCGGTTTTAATGTCTTCAGCCTTAATCTTTGTTTTCATTTATTTCATTAAGTATAAAGGTGTTTAAGAGTTTGAAATGTTCATCCTGTAGGGCCATTTGCTTTCAGTGTTTGGTCTCCTGTTTGAGTCCAGCCAAGTGACTATTTTGTGAAAATCATTGGCCAAAAACATTCAAAACAGGTGCAACAACTTCACAACCAACAGTATGCGCATTATGGGAAAAACTTCCTGTAATGGAGACCAGGGGTTTCATTAACTTCAATGGTTCACTGAGTATTTTACCTCTGTCTTGTGTCTCTCTGTGGCAAAAGTTAAAGGCACCACTGGACACTTTCAATGCTTCTAAGTTTCTTCTGTGGTTGATATAAGCCCCATGAAACTGCCAATGAACATGATTGCTTCCCAGTATTCTGTTTAACTTTTTTTTAAGACATATATTTTCAAGAAGAAACTAACAATATTGCCCAGAAAGACATAAACCAAACCCATGTATGCAGATGTGGGCATTAAATAACCCTCGTGCATCTGCCCTACTGCTGCTATTCACCGACTTTTGGGAAAGAGTTGAAGTAAACTCAAAAACAGGTGATCACAGACACTCAATACTTTCTATCTAGATTGGCACTCTGGTAATTAATTATTGCACTTACATTTTCTGAGACAAAGGGGACAGAGGCACAGAGGACACACACTAAGGTTTACTCAACATGACCAGTTAACTGATCTTCATGTGTAAAACTGGCGGAATGACCCTTTAACAACAAACATCACTTTCCTATAGTTTTATCTGCACCAAGACAATATTTCTTGTCTTGATACTTTGAGGGCATGAGCGCTAAAAAACTGAGGTGAGACATCGTGTACATTTTCAAACTGCTTCAGCATTTTTGGAATTTTTTCACCACTGTTAATTTGAGAGGAGAAGATGTGCTTTTATTGTGAAAATTTAGATTTAACTAGGAATTCTCACACCCCTGCCGCAACTTTTTACACAGTTTATAAAAGGTTCCTTTCATGCACAGAAACCAGTCATCATCCGTCGCTGCTGTGGGACTGTGCTAAATCTGTACTTGTTGGCATAATGATGTGGGAGAAACATTTCCCACTAAGCCACTCCAGCTTCAGATGAAACTGAATCCGGCCTACAAGTTCAGCAGTTACCAGCTGAGATGGAGAAACCGTCAACCATGTTTTCCCTCATGCCTTTTGGCAATTACCCAGGTGGCTTTGAGGTGCTAATTAGACAGTGTTGATTAATACCAGCTGTGCATAATTTGTGCTATTATTGGATGATCACCCGAGACAAGGAGACAGAGGGAAAGAGAGCAGAAAAGAGGGGGGAAAGAGAGGGTTTAGGAAAAGAGAGAGAAAGAGAGAAAGGTGACAGTCACATTACTGCGCAGACACAAATACAGTTAAATCAACATTTATATTATTTTTCCATTATACAATTTGCCCAAGGCCACTGTGATCCTGTCATGCAGGCACACAGAGTTGAGAGAAAGAGGGAGAGTCAATGTTTACACCTTGCAACATATATCTGGAAATATTATCTGGCTCAGGAAAATCACCTATTCATGCAGTAGTCAATCAGTAATCTGAGAGATGGAGTTGTGTTACCTGGGCTACCTGACAAACGTTAGTCCAACATTCACTCTTATCTGAGCTCTGGTTTGGCCTGAACTAAATCCTGAGGAAAAACTCTCTAAGCAGCTTTATGCTCATATGTTCAACAGCTGGTCAAATTTCTTTCACAGTCTGCCACTGATTACAATATATTTATCTGTGATCGGCCTCGGCTCGACGCACACGTTCACATGCTTTGTTAATATGTTAATGTTATACACTTTCAACCAGAAAGCAGGTTGAATAAAATACCTTGATCCTGTGGTATGCTTTGTTTTCACATGACATATTATTTGTACGTCATGTTATTTTAAGTTTTATTGCTTTTGTCTTCATCTTATTTTGTCTATGTTGCATATTGAATTTGTGTGATTTGCCTTCGTTGTCTGTGTTTAGTTGTTTTGTGTAAATTGGTTTCAATCAAATCAATCAAGGGAATTTTATAATCGCATCAAACTCACAGAGGAAATCTTCTCTGTGCTAAAATCATATTTTGTTTGTGATATTACCCTTGAGTTTCTTCAGACCTACAAGACAGTAAGTGATATCTTGATGATGGACTTCTTGACCCACAAGAGTAGAAATGATGGTGATAGTACTTTCAATGTAATGGCCCCTGACCAGATCGCCGCTGTGGCGGAACTCAATAGTAAAATATTTGTGAGTCATATATACAACTCTAACCTTGATGTGTGTCATACTGTAAATTGTGAAGAGTAATTTTCCTGACTGTCTCATTCTGTTAAAACTCAAAACAGTGTTTTCAGCAACGAGCAATCATCAACAGATTTTTCACTGTTAAAAGTCAAATTACTGTCAGTCTTCAGTCATCCACAGATCTGTCTGTCCTGACACTGGACACGTCTCATTTCTCACCACATTCAACTGGGAAGCTGTTGCCATGACACCCCAGAGCAGACTGACAGCTGTCACTGTGTGCTTGTTTGTGCGTGCGTGAGCGAGCGTGCGCTCACATGTGTGTTGCCTTCTAACAAATGACATGTCAAGTGGCAGCGAGGGGATGCCACAGAAATGTTGTCATGTGTGTGGGTGGAGGTTGGATGAGGGGGGATGGGATTATGGGTAGGAGAGAAAGCAGAAGCAAAGAGAGAAAGCGCTGGAATTAGGGGCTTTAAAGGGCATCTGGGTGGGAATGTGTAGAAGACCTCTGACAGCTAAAGGTCACATTTATTGTACATGGACCGGGTGCGATGACACCATTTTGCCATCTTAGCAAGGTCATTTCCACTGAAATTTAGCATGAGCTGCATTCATCAGATATAAATAATATTAAAACAATACAATTAACAATAATTGAATTAGATCATTAATGGGTTATTAAAAAATAGGGCAACAGTACATCCATGGTGCAACGGGAGTTGAGCACACATAAATGGCTTCAATAAAGTCCTAACCTGAAAGTCCTCTGTAAAGGCATTATACAGTATCACCTGTACACAGCCCAATTATTTACTTTTCTTATTGACCATTAATCCTGTGAAAAGGCCAAAACCAACGTCAGCCAATAACATTTATTCCTACTGAAGATGTAAAATCTTGAAAAATGGCTCAGTAATTTCCTAAAACAGCTGGACACTGTAGTTTTCGTCAAACGCTACTTAAACGGGAAGAAACACAGCATTTGTTGGGGACTGTTTTCAATGTCGGACGAATCCACGTTTGATGATCTAGTGAGTATTTGGGTCAGCAGGGTGGTGTATGTGGGATCGAGTCAAAATAAACTGCAGTGTGTGTGTAACCCAGTATTTATACATACTGAATATCAACTGTGATCATATACATGTGACCCTGGGGAACCCAGGAAAGGGTCACTAATTGCCTGGTTTCCACAACTGGGCCAAGA